TTATTTAATAACATAATTAATCTTTTTAATTTTTATTTATGAAATTATTTCAATCATACTTTTCATATTTCATTAAAATGAATCCATTAGTAGGTATTTATTAGTTAGTTCACTGTTATATTAGAAATTCCAATATGTATACTATATTTACTGTGACCTTTTTCAGTTTATTGACGTGTTTAAAAATAATTAATTTGCATCGCACGTTTTATAATTTTATTGCGTGACATAGTTAAATTATTTTGCTAAAATATTATTCTCAGATATAAAGCTATAAAATAAATAAGTAAATCACTCTAAAGTTTGAAACAAATATTATATATGAAATCGAGTTTCAGTGTTATTCGTTCAAAAATAACAAACGTAAAATATTTATTACCGTTTCATTAATTATATTTATGCATTTTGCTTAATTTAAGATTCCTGAAATAATATTTACAATATTAGTTATTATTAAAAAAAAAAAAAAACATAAACACATTTAATTTATATAATAATTTAATTCTTTTACCTAAAATGTGTTTGGAAATAATACTTTAGCAATTACGTTAATAAACATTGGTCATAAATATAGCTACGGTAGTGGTCATTATATTTTGAAATATGATGGTATCGTGAAAAAAAAATATTTTTTTATGTGTTACATTAAACTAACTTTTTGGGCGTATTAAGGTGATATATGCTCCTGATAATCACTAATAAACAATATTAATTTATCAAAATGTCTAAAAGCAAAATATAGTTCTCAATTAATTTATATTATAAAGACATAACAAAATTGAAGCTAATTTTATATTTTAAATTTAGTTTAATGTATTTTATTTAAACAATTTTGAATTGGTAAAATTACTAAKGTAAACGAAAAAAAAACAACACATTTACTATTGTATCTGTGATATCTACAACTGATATCAATTAATCCTTTGATTTAAATTAAAAAAGTAGAAATGTAGAAACAGTAATTGGAAAAAGTAAAATGTGTTAAACTGTATTCGAAATAATGTAACCATCCTGCGTTTAACTAAACCAGTTACATAAAAAGTATTACCAATTTATAGTAACACCAATATTGTTATAATTGCTTTAGTTAGTAATAATTGTAATACTGTTTTTAAACGTGAATTCATATTTGAAAACCGTATAAATTTATTTATTTAAAAAAAAGTAAATGTTGGTTTTAAAAAGAAGTTTTTAAATATTAATTCTGTACCACTGTTTTACCTTTTAATGTTAACAAATCAAACTGTTATTTATTAGAATTGTGAATTTGAACTTTTGATAATAATGTTTCACCAAGTATAATAAATATTAATTAAKAGAAACATTTATGTTTTCCTATTGTTAAAGCGTGCTTATGTTTTAGTAAATGCATTTACACCCATTAAATAATTTTGAACGAATTTATTATATTCATAATTATGATTATTTAATATA